AGAAACTCGAGAAGATTGGGGAAGGTAATGGGACTACGAGATGTTCCTGCAAGATCTTCCTCTACAGACCCTTCAGCATTCCTTGCAGCCCTGGTTCCTCTACCGTCAGCAATACCCACAGGCTCCGACCTCAGCACTGACTGCAGCCCCGGCCCCGAGCTCAACACTCCTTGCAGACACCTATCCTTCCCGTTAGCATCTCCCGCAGACGCCCGTTCCCAACCTCAGCACCGCCTGGAGACCTACCTGCCGACCTTAACACTTCCTGCATCTTCCGCCCCTAGCCTCGGCACCCTTTGCAGGCTCTCACCCAGCCCCCAGCCTCAGTGCTCCATGCAGACCTCCAACCTCAACGTTTCTGCCGACCCTCACTTTTCTCCCAGACCTGCCCACCACCCCCAGACCCTCCGGAAACACCGCCTTTATTGGAGACCTCTTTACCCTCGCGGCTGCAGCCTATGCCCGCCGCAGACGCGCCTGAGCCATCCAGCTCCAGGCACCTTCTCAGCCCCATCCTCCTTTACACAGCTCTTCAAATGCTGAGCTTTCACGTCAGTCTCTTCCCTTACTCCTCCAGGCATCAGAAATAACCCACTCCCACGTTGCCTGCTCTCCTGACAGGGACTTCCTGGGGTGGGGAGGGTGTCCCATCTTCACCCTCACCCCTGACCTTCCTCTAGGCACCTACGGAACAGTATTCAAGGCCAAAAACCGAGAGACCCATGAGATCGTGGCTCTGAAACGGGTGAGGCTGGATGACGATGATGAGGTAGGACTGGGACACCGGGGCTAGGGAGGGTGTTGAGGGCCCAGGTGGGGTGGGATGTGACTGTTGCCCGCCCGGCCCCCTCCCATGTGTAGGGAGTGCCGAGCTCAGCCCTTCGGGAAATCTGCCTCCTCAAAGAGCTGAAGCACAAGAACATCGTCAGGTGTGTAGATGGGCAGGGCCCTCCTTGCCTCTGTGGTCAGTTGGAGGAGGGGCGGGGCTTCAGAGATGGGCTGGGCTGATGCTGGGGTCAGGGATGGGCCGATCCAGATCCCTCGGGGATCCGAGGCTGAAACTCGTGGACCTGCCCCGCTGAGTCCTCCCTCCTCCCCAGGCTTCATGACGTCCTGCACAGCGACAAGAAGCTGACTTTGGTTTTTGAGTTCTGTGACCAGGTGAAGGGGGAACTTGGGGGACAGTAGCCTTGGGGGAGGGTATAGGGGCCCAGGCTGAGGTTAAACCGTGTCACGCTCCCTACCCCCATCCCTTTTTAGGACCTGAAGAAGTATTTCGACAGCTGCAATGGTGACCTAGATCCTGAAATTGTGAAGGTGAGGGGTAGTGTGCTGGAGACTCGTTGAGGCCGAGGGGGACTCTGCCTTCAGTATAGGCACCCTCTGAGTGCCAAGTTCAGGTCCTGAGCGGGGCGACATGCTGGGGTGTCAGGGAATGAGAAAACCCTGTCTCTGCCCTCCAGCACCCCCACCTGAGCCAGCACCTTGACATGGTCTCTGGGATCTGAGGGTATCACTTTGATATCCTCAGTGACATGATTTGCACTTGAGAGATGAGAAAATGAGATTCAGAGAGATTCATTCATTCATTCATTGAACAAATACCTGTCGGACGCTTTGCTATGTGCCAGGCACTGTGCTAGACCCAAGTGCCTGGCACTTGCCCCGGGTCCCGGGGGAAGCAGTGCTGAATAATACAGCCCAGCATATATATTGACGGCTACGAAGTGTGTGCTTACCTGAGGCCAGTTCGGGGAGAGATCCGTGTGGGAGGGTGGGAAGGCCCACTAGGCTGTAAGTTCCAGAAGGGTGGGGACCCGGGCCCCCACTCACCGTTCATTTATACCCAGCTCCACACGCAGCGGGTCCTCCATAATGAAGTGATGGTGTCGCTGAAAGATGGGTAGGGTTTTGAGGGTGAAGAGGGGAACATGACCCACCACTGGGTGCAGCCTCCTTCCAGAAGGTCTGACACTCTCCCCTGCACCCCCCTCCACCCCACAGTCCTTCCTCTTCCAGCTGCTGAAAGGCCTGGGATTCTGTCACAGCCGCAACGTGTTGCACAGGGACCTGAAGCCCCAGAACCTGCTAATAAACAGGGTACCTCTTGGGGAGAAGGTGGGTGGTTGGGGAGGCACACGTGATGGGGGGGGAGCTGGGCTGGGGAGGCAGAAGAAGGAGGCCCGCCCTGGGACTGTTGAAAACCCCCTCTCAAAGTCCCTTCCCATCTCCGCTCAGAACGGGGAGCTGAAATTGGCCGATTTTGGCTTGGCTCGAGCCTTTGGGATCCCGGTTCGCTGTTACTCAGCCGAGGTGAGCTGGAGGGGGGTGGGATATGGGGGTAAGGGAGGGGAGGTCCCCTCTGAGCATCTTTCACCTCCTACTCCAGGACCCATGACGTTTTTTCCCCTCCTCACTGAGCCCCTCCCCCCCAGCCCTCTAAGTGGGGGTCACTGTGGGTGGGGTCTTCTCCAGGTGGTCACGCTGTGGTACCGCCCACCGGATGTCCTCTTTGGGGCCAAGCTGTACTCCACATCCATCGACATGTGGTCGGCCGGCTGCATCTTTGCAGGTGACATGCCGGGGGTCTGCAGAGGCACTGTGTCTCCCATCTGAGTGGACACGTCGGGTCTGGGGTGTCCCCTCTGGGGGAGGGTGTGAGGCCCTTGGGGTTGGGGATGGAACACACAGAGGGCGCCATGGGAATGAGGGGTCTTCGTGTTTCCCCTCCACCCCCTAGAGCTGGCCAACGCGGGGCGGCCTCTTTTCCCCGGCAATGACGTAGACGACCAGTTGAAGAGAATCTTCCGATATCCTTCGACATTTCCCTTCGCCCCGAGCCTCTGAAGTGGAGAAAGAGGGGGCACCTGGCTGGCTCAGTCGGTAGTCGTGTGACTCTTGATCGCATCTTGATCGGGGGTCATGAGTTTGAGCCCCACGTGGGGCGTGGAGTTTACTTTTAAAAAAAATGAAGGGGAGTAAGGATCCCACGGAGCTCAGAGTGCATGGGCTGGGCCAGGATAGGGGGTGGCTTTGGGCGAGGGGATGGAGGGCCGACAGCGCTGTGGTCTCAGGGCTGATTGGAGCGACCGGCTGGAGCTTGTATGACCTGCGGACAAGGAGGGCTCGCCTGGGGGAGTAGCCATGAGCAGGCCCCTCCACGAGAAGTGAATCCTCAGGATGAAGGCCAAAAGCAGCGGGGGGATTAGATGTGGGAGTAGGAGAAGCCCGACCATCTCATCAGGAGCAGACATCAGGGTTTAGGTCAGAGGAGCGAATGTTTGTAAAGTGCCTGGTGCCGCGGGAACACGCACGCTCTGGGTCCTGCTTCTGTCCTGCGCTGTGGGATAAGGTGAGGGGTGTGGAGGTGGGTGTGAGAACCCCCCACCCACTACGAGGAGGGGAAGAGCCCCTCACCCACCTGGCCCTTTCCACCTGAGTGATCCTTGACCCCGTGGACACGCTTCTGGGGACACCAACCGAGGAGCAGTGGCCTGCCATGACCAAGCTGCCGGACTATAAGGTGTGGCGGGGAATAGAGGGGCCCCTTCTGCTTCCCAGCTCTAGCAGCCTCCAGGCCCCCAGACCGCGGGTCTGACTCTCCCTGCACCCCCACAGCCCTACCCGATGTACCCGGCCACAACGTCCCTGGTGAACGTCGTACCCAAGCTCAATGCCACAGGGAGGGACCTTCTACAGGTGACCAAGGGCAGGGGTCGGGGGTGGGATCCAGACCCTCGTCAGGAGGTCTGGGGGAGGCCGCGGCTGGAGGCAGCTGACCCAGCCTGACCCCGCCACGCCTCTCTTCGCGCCCCTAGAACCTCCTGAAATGTAACCCTGTCCAGCGCATCTCGGCAGAAGAGGCCCTGCAGCATCCCTACTTCTCCGACTTCTGCCCCCCGTAGGCCCCAGGACCTTGGCCAGGCTGGGGCCTGGCCTAGCGAAGCCCCCTCCTGGGAGGGTAGGAAAAGCAGGGGTGCACGGTGTGCTGAGCCCCAGCTGTGCTGGGCCCGGCCGGGGTGGAGGTGCCCCGGGCCGCGTTCTTCACTCCCTCTGTGGACTTTATTTAATTTCATAAATTGGCTCCTTTCCCACAGTGTGGCTGATGTGGTGGAGTGGCTCTGAGAGGGGGTGGGCTTGGGCAGGGGTCTCTGCCACCCTCTCCATCCTCTCGCATCTGGCTCAGACCCAGCCCGGTGGTTCCAGCCTTTGCTCCACTACTCTGAGTGGCCTGACACGGGGGGCTCGGGGCAGCACCCCCCACACGTGTGCTTAGGCTGGCACGTACGCCCCTCCCTCCCTCCCTCTGCCCAGGGCTGGGCAGCCAGTGTCAGAGTAAAGACGGTCTTCCGCCAGAATGTGGAGAAAAGGGCTGGGCCTTTCTTCATGGTTCTCCACATCCCACGTGTACCTCCCCACCCTTCCCTTCTTCATCCCCACCCCTCTCCCCCACAGCCAGGCGGGCAGGCTGGGACAGCAGCGATCCAAAGATGTGGTTAGATCAGGAGCATCCCTTTCCCGCTCCCTTGTTAGTTTCCCAGTATTTGGGGTACAGAGAAAGAGCAGGGACGGGGCGGTAGCTGGGGCCGGGGACCTTGTGCTCTTTGGGGAGGTTGGAGAAGCAGAGCCGTTCCGTGGAGACGGGTGGTGTGCTGGCGCTGGGTCCCCAACGTGAACAAAGAGTCATGGTCTAAGGCCCCCGAACATAGCTGTTCTCCTGCTGACTCCTCTTTGCCTTGCTACCTGCCTCTGAGCGCCTTTTTCTCTGAGATGTCATTTTGATAAACTCCCTTCATGCTGGGGTGCAAATGGAGGGTCCCCTCTCACTACCCTCTTCGCCCCAAGAGATTCATGGCCGTTGACGGGGGACCCACCTACATTTTAGGCGCTATCCACTGGATGTTGGCCGGCGGAGGTCCTCTTTGACCTTGGCCTGACTAGTCTGGCTGTGAGAGAAACCGCTGAGGCTGATGCACTAGAACTTTATTTGGGGTGAAGAGGGCAGAGACCTGTGCAGGCGGGGCCCGTCCAGGATGTCAAGGCGCAGCCCGGAAGACACAGAAGCCGGGTCTAGAGCCGTGTGACGAGGTAGCAGGTGCGGTGGGAGGCAGACAGGGTCTTGGTGACGGCACAGGGAGGGGTGGGGGCCCTGGTGAGACCCAGACCACAGCGGTGGGACAAGAGGCCTTGCAACCACCACCCTGCCCTCCTGAACCTCAATGTCACCCTCTAGACTGGACCTGCCCCTCCTCCCTTGAAATAGTGAGCCATTTCTTGTTACCTGGGGCCCAGGCTGAGGTGGGGAACTTGGGTTCCATGGCTGCCCAGCCCTTCCTGAAGCTGTGGGAGGAGGGAGAGGTTCAGAGGTGGGGAGGAGTCCTCCTTCCGGGGACCAGCCAGTCACTGCACGCTCCTCCCCCACCATTCTTCCCTCAGCTGGGTGGGGATGGTGTTCTAGGCCTCAGGGGGAGATGTTGGAGGTGGTAAAGGAGGAAGGAGGCGTTGTTACCAGATTGGTGCTAGAGTGCCTTTGGGAGTGCTTTCGGTTCCAGAAGTATCCCAGGACCCTGTCTCGAAACACCTGGGGACAAGCAGTGGGGGGGGTGTGGCCATTGCACACCTCCTGGATCTTATGCACCGATCCTTCCCCCTCCCCCAGCTGGGGCTCAGGCCCACCTCGCAGAGGTAGTCCAGGATCTCAAGGATGGTGAGCAGGCTGGCCCCGATGAACAGCCCCATCTGGCCCCCAATGTCGCCTGTGGAGACCAGGTTACCCATCAGCTCACAGCCACCTGCTGGGCCCTTGCCTCCCCAGACTCCTGGGTGACATGCATACGCGCGCTCTCTCTCTCTCTCTCTCTCTCTCTCTCTCTCTCTCTCACACACACACACACACACACACACACACACACACACACACACACACACACACACACCAAGCAGTTCTGACACTTCATAGGCCTTCTTCTGCTCCACGGTCTCATAGTTGAGGGCCTCAAAGAAGATGTCCAGCACCAGCACGTTCTCTCTGGAGGAAAAGACACCAGGAAAGCTCGCTGGACACCCCCTGCCAGCTGCTGGCAGGAGAGAGGTGCCCGATCTCCCCGTCTGCGACTCCTTTTAAAGTCTTGGGACGGGTGTCACCGCCCCCTTTGCAGAAGAGATGGTGTCAGAAAGGTTAAACAGCTTGGCCAGGGTCCCGGGAGCCCCGCGATGATGTGCAAGCTGGTGTCCCACCCGGGTGTGCGCACGAAGGCTCGCCCGCCTGAGGGTGCCGCCCCACCGCTCCTACCGCCCCGCCCGAGGGTGCCTCCCCCCCCCCCCCACCGCCCCGCCCCACCCCGGCTGGCCCGGCTCACGCGATGTAGGCCTCGCTGCGGTTGTGTTTCCGGGCCAGGTAGCGGGCGGAGGCGCGGCTCGGGATCCGCACCATGGAGAGCTCCTTGGCGTAGCGCGTGCTGGCGCAGGGGTTGGGGCAGGTGCACGCGTCCTTCCGCAGCATGGCGTCTGCGGGCCACAGTCGCCTGAGTCAGGGCCACCCGGCTGGCCGGCGGGTCCGGTAGCCAGAGCCGAGCAGGGGCGGGGATGCGGGGGAGGTCTGCCCCTTACCCAGCGCCGGGTGCGCGCAGTCCTTGAATTGCTGGGGGCTGCACACCGGCGCCCCGCCTGGGGGGGTGGTGGAGGAGGCCGCTCAGGAGCAGTCCCCAGGCTCCTTGCTCCTTGGCCCGAGCTTGGACGCCCCCAACCCCGCCTTCGCCCCCCTCCCCAGCTCCTTACCTGGCATATGCATCATTCGGCACCCGCACTTCCGAGCCACATAGCGGGCCTCACAGGCCAGGCGGCACCCCATCAGACTATAGGGGGGTTGGGGGCCCGGGCTGGGGCTGGGAGGACCCAGGGGACCAGAAGGTTCCGGCTCAAAGTCGGGGTCCAGAGATGCGGAGCTGCAGTCACCCCAGGGTGGTGGCAGGAAGCTCAGCTGTAGTTGGGCGGGTTAAGGAGGCTTCAGGGAGAAGTGGGGCCGGTGGCCAAATGCCATGTAAGCGGTCACCGAGAAGGCGTGCGGAGGGCCAGAGACCCTGGGATGTTCTGGGATGTTTTGGGCCGAAGGAAGGGGTTGGAAAAGCCTGGGGAGGATACTTGCTGCTGCTGGCAGGACACGAAGGTCTGGTAGCCGGGGGCCGCCCCGAAGCCCAGCTGGTCAATGGTGGGCGGCTCCTCCTGGCTGTGGATCTGCACTCGGACCCCCACCTCAAATGGGGTCTTCTCTGCAGGGGAGAGGGGGACCCTGAGGCCTGTGTCCCAGGGGACTCCCTGCTGCAGACCCCCTCGCCCCAGGACTGTGACTAGCCAACCCTGCGCCTCCCCTTTCACAGGAAAGGATGTACTCTGGGGCCCTTCCTAGCACCTCCTCCGCTTCCCAGAGCCTTTTGTACGCTGTCTCTGCCACCACTCCAGCCTGACACACGTGCCCCCATACCCATGTCCCTCCACACGGGCAGATACTCATCCTGCTGCACGTCCAGCATGATCTCCAGCCCGTTGCCCATGCCGCCCTTGGGAGTGGTGAGAAGCTCTGCCCCATCTGCGCCCGAGTTAAAGGTGTAGCACTGACCCATCCGGGTGAAGATCTGTGGGTGAGCAGACAGGGAACAGACCTCACTGGGGAACAAGGAGCCCGGCCAGCCCTTTCCCCCAGGCCAACACGAGACCTCTCCTCCCCCATCTTCTGTTTGGTCTCTTTGAACACGGAACCCACATCTCAATGCCCCCACCCCCTCCCTCATACCGGCACATCTAGTTGGACCCCTGTGGGCTCCCGTCACCGCAGCCCCTCCTCCCCCTTCTTCGGCACCCCCCAGCCCCCCAGCCCAGGACACAGCCTGTAAGGACAAGTGTTTCTTCAGAGAATGGCAAGAAAGGAAGTGGGTCTCAGTCGCCCTCCTCCAGGCCTGGCAGAATGTTGGAGAGGCAGAGGGAGAACGAGCCCACTCCTCCACGCTGGCCCCAGGAGCCGGGGCTCCACAGCCCAGAGCTTGGGCCCAGAGCCAGCCCGGGTGAGTGCCCTGCGCTGGGAGGCATGACCTTGTCCGTTGCAGTCCAGCTGAGTGGCAGGGAGGGGTCCCCAGGGAGGGCAGTCTCCGGGCTGGACAAAAAGGCCCTGGTGGGCGGGGGAGCCCATCGCCTGGCTGGGAAGGAAAGGATCCCCGGCCCAGGTGTGAAGATCCCTTAGCTTAGGGGGAGGCTGGGCCGGCCATGCTGGGGAATTGCGGGTCCCTGGGGGGCCGGGCCGGTGGCCAGCTCACCGCGGTGAAGTTCTCGGGCCCGCACGGCCAGCCCCGGTAGCGGCAGCCCAGCAGCATGTCCTCCAGGGTGTGTCCGGCCCTGGCATACAGTCGAGCCATGTCGAAGGTGGGACTGGGCATGAAGCCGGGCGGCGCGGGGGGCAGGCCCAGGGCGCGCAGGAAGGCGGCGTGCTCAGGGGGCTCCACGCCCAGCAGCGCGGGCCCGGCCCAGTGCAGGTCGTTGGGCGTGAGGCGCGAGCGGCGCAGCGGGTTGATGTTGCACAGGGTGACGGCGGGGAAGGTGAGCCGGTGGCTCTCGCGCTCGTCCAGGGCTGTCTCGTGGTGGAACTCCCCGTAGTAGCGTGCCCTCTCGGCCACCTGGTAGAGGAAGGCGGCCAGGGACAGGAGCAGGGCTGTGGCCCACAGCCCTCGGCGTGGCGTCAGGCCCCCGGGGCCGAAGACGCGGCCCAGCCCGTGCATCGTGCAGCTGCTGGCGAACACGCGGATGTCTGAAGCTGCTCGCGGGGCCTCCTCTGACCCGGGATGGGGCTTCATGGCTGAGGTCCAGGGTGGGGGACCCTGAGAGGGTCTGGGAGCGGTGACCAGGCTGCAGGGGCCTGGAAGGAGACAGTCCGAGGACTGGGAAGGGCCGGGCAGGGGTCACTGCAGGGGAGGAGAGGGGAGGAGAGAGTGGGGAGAGGAGCCCAAACCAGGAAGTGGGAAGGCACTGGCCCGCAGGCAGGTCGGCAGGTTCGCTCAGCCGTCTCCAGGACCCAGCAGGGGCTCCGCGGGAGAGACCGGGTAGGGCGCAGCGGACTTGGGAGGCAGGGGCCGCTCTGCTGGAGGCGGCTCTGCTGAGCCTGAGCTGCCGCAGAGGATTGGGTTTCAGCAGTGAGGGGGCAAGGGGGCCCGCAGAGCAGTCTGGGGGGCGGGGAAGGTCCCTGGGGCCCCAGGCTGAGCCATTAGTGCGGTGTGTTGGGGGGGAGGGGCGTGGCCGTGGAGACCAGAGGCGCCAGCGGAAAACCACAGCCATCCTGGGGAAGGCTTGAGGGGAGCCTGGAGATAAGTCGGGGCTGGGGGTGCCTTAATGGCCCTCTCGGTTCCCAGCTGCGGCCCTTGCGGTTGGGTTGAGGGTCACTTGCCCAAGTCCCTTCCCTCATTTTGTCTCTCCTCCCTTCCCACTGACCTCGCTTGGGATAATTTGTTTCTTCACAAAGAGAGGAGCTGGCTCTTGACCAAGCTGGAAAGTGGTGGGAAGTTTGGCGTCGGCAGATTCAAGCCCCCAGCAGCCCAGCCTGCATGGCTGGTGTGTCTGCGGGTCTCAAGTCCGGGAGCGGTCTGTCTCAGAGTCCTCCTCCCACCTCCCCATGCCGAGGCCCTCCTCTGCCGCAGGGACTATGGGCTCACTAGCCACCCTCCCGGGGAACATGGGGGCCCAAATTTTTTTTCCCACTTAAAACCATCCTGGAGACCACGGAATACCTAGTAGCTGGAAAGCTTCCCCATTTTTTAAATAGCTGCGTTCTATTCCATTATGTGGGCGGACCAACTTTCATCTACTCACACTCCCATGGATGGACATCGGGGGTTTCCAGTCTTCCATTGTAAACAGTGGTGCCCTCAGTACCATTGCACAATGTAAATTTCCAGAAATAGAACTGCTGGGTCAAGAGGCAACTAAATGGATAATTTGGTAGATACCACAAAATTCCCCACTGAGGGAATTCTACCATTTTGCACACCTGCCAGTAGCATGGTGGGCAGTGTGCCCATTTTGTGGGGGAGGGGGGGCTTTTCTTTTAATTTTTTAAATGTTTATTTTTGAGAGAAAGTGTGAGCAGGGGAGGGGAGATGCGCACACACACACACACACACACACACACACACACACAGAGAGAGAGAGAGAGAGAGAGAGAGAGAAACCAAAGAAGGCTCCAGGCTCTGAGCTGTCAGCACAGAGCCTGACGTGGAGCTCAAATGCACAAACTGTGAGATCATGACCTGAGCAGAAGTTGGACGCTTAACTGACTGAGCCTCCCAGGTGCCACCCCCCCCCCTTTTTTTAAAGTTGGGCTCCATGCCCAACATGGGGCTTGAACTCATGACCTGAGATCAAAAGTCTTGTGTTCTACCCATGGAGTCAGCTGGGCGCCCAAGCAGGGGGACTTTACTAAAGGGAGAGATACAGAGCCCCTGACCCAGCTGGAGTGCCCCAGGCCACAGTGCCCAGCACGGTGAGACTACGGCACGGGCCAGGGGAGGACTCCCAGCAGCCGGAGCAGACACCTCCAGAAAGCAGGGTGGCCGTCCGCAAGGCTGGTGCCACCGGCCTGCAGTGGGGCAAGGGTGTCATGCTGATCCAAGGCGTGGGGACACAGGGCAGCAGGAGAGCCCAGCGGCTGGGGGCTGTGGGGGGGTCGCCCAGACACCCCCAGGGCAGATGGCCAGGGCCTGGTCCTCGTCAGTGCCCAGCCCCGCATTTGGTTCAATAAATGCTCATCTGCCCGTGTGGCTGTGAACAGAGAGACGCCGTACAGCAGGCCTGAGAGCACACAGGTTTCCCTCCACTAATTTGTTTACTGAAATCTATTTCTACTCCGTCTCTTTCCACAAAGCACTGAGGCTGCCGGGTTCACACTGGTGGGCTCCTGGCTGTGAGTGGGAGAAATACGGTTTGCCAACTGACCATGATCACATGGCGCTGCAGTCACCTGTCCACCTGTTGTCCCGACAAGCCCGCACTTCCACGGGGGCAGGGGCAGCGTCACACCCATCACAGGTGTGCGGCACATGATACGCGTAGCTTGGAAGGAGGTGAACAAGTTTATTGTACACGTGACCAGCTCCTGAGGCTGGAGCACAGGGAGTTGTGAGTACTTTCCCACAGATTACCCCATTTCAACTCTTCAACTCTCAAGAAGAGGTACCGCCAGGCATATGACCTGTGTTGAATAGTCGCAGGAGCCAAGGCTGAAGCTGAGGCCACGTGGCAAGCGTGAGGCTGACCCACAGCCTTCCGGCTCAAGGCCCGCCACAGACCTCGCTACTTCCCTGGGGTGGGGGAGTGGGGGGCTAGGATTTGGGGAGGCCGCCCTGAAGAGGTCCAGAGAGACCAGAGTCTGGTGTCAAGGGGGTCTCGGGGGGGGGCTGGAGCTGGGGGAGCAGGAGCTCGAAGGAGGGGTGAGGCAGGCCTGCGTGGACTTGGCCGGAAGCGGTGGCTGACTCTGGGCCGCACTGCCTGGGTGGGTGTTAAGCGGCAAGGCCACCCCACGCTCTGCCCCTACTGGGCTGTGGCCGCCCTGGCAGTGACCTTGGATCTGTAAGGAAGCAGGTATCAAACCAGGGTGGCTGTGGCCCTGGGACATTTCAGGTACTTTGTCCCCAGAGGAGCATCTGCTCCCAAGCCACACCCAGAGCAGAGGAGGCTGCGGGGGGGGGGGGGGGGGGGGGGGGGGGGGGGGGGGGGGGGCTAACCCCTGGCTCCTGCACTCACACCTGAGGCAACACCGCTTCTTCCAGGCTGGCCTCGGGCTACAGTGGAGCTCTCGCCCCTGAAACAGGGCACTCCCCTTCAGGGCCACAGGATGAATCCAACTGATTTTGTGTTTTGTCAGCCTGGGGGCTAGGTACTAACTTCCCCCAGAGGTTTGGTGACCTCTAGCACCATACGACCCCTGTGGCTGGAGTCCGGGGTATCTGTCGGCTCCGGCTTAGTCTCCTTCAGAGCCGGGTGGCCTCGTGTGGGAGGGCCATCCACAATCTCACAGGGTGACCGAGCCGAGGTGCACGGGACCAGGGCAGGGGTGAGACGGCCCAGTAAGCCGGAAAGCCGGAAGGTCCTCGTGGAACGGACCACGGCATGCCCTGCCCCTCCTCCCCCTTCCCAGGGGCCGGGGGCATGTGGGGCACTTGTTTCACTGGACGGGAGTGTGAGGGGGGGATGAAATCTAGAAAAAGGACCAGTATTCACAGAATAGGGTGCAGGAGGGGAAGCTGTTCTCAGGATGGGGGCTGTGGTTCGAGGGCCTGGCCTGAGGGACGGGCTCCTTCTCCTGGGGCTCAGAGAGCCAGTGGGGACGGAGCAGTGAGGGGAGTCGGCCAGGAAGTTGAGGTCCTGGCACGGGTGGGGGAAACCCTAGTGTGAACTCCTATTCCCCCTGACACCGGTTTATATAGAGGTGAGGCCTGATGCCTTTAGGCTATCAGGTAGGGGGCTAACTCGCCAGGGTTCCTGAGAGGGGTCGGGAGGGTCTGGGCAGAGGGAGGGGCCAGAGCAGGGGCCTGGGGACTCTGCCTCCCTCTCTGTGCAGCCCAATGACTCAGGGCTCTGGCGGAAGGGAGGCAGGCAGGAAGGGGAAGTGGGGGACGGGGGAGTGGTCCCGACCCCCCACCCCCCAGCTCAGCGAGAGGCCGGGGTTGCACTGTGAGCAGGGGAGCGGCAGCCCACACCCCGGCACACTGGCCTTCCTGGGTGTTTGGTCCCTGGGAGCCCCCCAAGCCGAGCCCCAGTCCTGGAAGTCGATGCTCGGCGGCAGCGAGACCTTAACCAGCTGCTCTCAGGCCTTGGGGTGGCGGTTCCTGGGGCCTCTGGGCATCTCGGGAGCTGGGACGTCCAGGGCCTGTCTCCGGATGAGGTCCGCATACAGCCCGCCCTTCTTCAGGAGCTCCTTATGGGTCCCCACCTGGAGAGAGGAAGGAGGGCCAGGTGGTCACCCCAGCCCAGTTCACAGCCCTAGGAGGGCTGGCCTCTTAGCAGCCATGGGCTCACTGTCTTCTTAGCCAGTGTCTCCTGGAGGCACTGTGAACCCAGAGCACTGGCTTGTGTGAACTCGCTAGCGCCGCCTGCCTGCTTGGCCAGGCTTTGGAAGAGCACCCAAGTCCTGTCTCCCTCACAGAACCCAGAGACTCCAGCTTTCACTCGAGTGAGCAGCTGGGGGGCGCTGATCCTTGCCGCAGAGCAGCCTCTGGAGATCGGCTCCCGGCCAGCCTCTCACCAGGGTACCTGGTGCTGCCTCTGCTGTGCCTCGGCCCCTAGGCCCCTTCTCCCTAGTGCTCTGCACTTTGAGTCCCTTCCCTTCGGTCCTGGGAGTCATGAAGTAGCTCTACAACCCCCCCCACCCGGGGTACTGGAAGAAATGGGCCCTGAGAGGCCAGGGCAGGAATTCCTGAATCTGCACCGGGTGCCGCTTCCGGAACATGCCCCAGGCCCCCAGGCCAGGCCAGACCCTCACATGGCCCAGCTGAGCCGCTCTTTCCACTGTGTCCGCGGTCAAAACTGTCCCCACCCGCTTCCCGGCCCCCAGCTGACCTCGCAGACTCGGCCGTGGGCCATGACGACGATGTGGTGGGCCCCTCGTACGGTGCTGAGCCGGTGCGCGATGACCAACACTGTGCGGCCGGTGCTGGCGCGGTCCAGGGCCTCCTGCACGACGCGCTCGGACTCTGAGTCCAGGGCGCTGGTCGCCTCGTCCAGGATCAGCACCTTGGGCTGCTTGATGAGGGCACGGGCGATGGCTAGGCGCTGCTTCTGGCCACCAGACAGGGTTGCGCCCCGCTCACCTGGGGAGGACGGGGCCAGGGCAGGGTCTTGAAGCGATCTTCGGCTCTGCACTTGGGGGAGGCCCCACAGAGGGGTACCTGGGCCGTCT